TGCAGCAAACAATTAAAGGTGCCAGTCCACTACAGTGTGCCTACCGATATAATAGTTCCAAAAAGAAAATACTAAGTATATCCCTGTATATCCTTAAGTTATTGTATGTCCATTTTATATTAAAAAGTTAATTTTATGTCTCTCATCACTTCGATAACATAAAAATGCACACTAACAATGATTTTAAATAGATATTATAAACTATAATACTCGTATATTACCGTGTAGCGGCGGTAAACGTGTAGTGGGGGTGTAGGAAATATTCACTACCCCATATCATCCCGTGAGTGTCGTAAGAGGCGTTTTATACGTGGTAGAGCCATGCTGCAGTTATATTAGTAGTATAGTTGTAGCACGAATGGGAATATAGCTGCAGAATGGTTCTACCAAGTAAATTTATTAGTAATTATGATAATAAAAGAATAATACCTATATATTTTAAAGTATTCATAATTTTATAATCAAACTAGTAGTAGAAGTGTAATAATAAGTACTGATTCCTTAAAATTTATATAAATGAATTAAAAAAACTAAATTTTAAACAGTTTTTAAATAATCATAAATTACCTTGCTGCTATTATTTGGTTAAAATTCTTGAGCTTTCTATACTTTTTTTTTAAATTATTAGTCACGCACTTTTTATAACATAGAGAGTATAAGCTTCTTACTGAGAAGAAAGGGTGACAAACGTGCACGCATGCCACCTAATGGTAAGTGGAAGCTGTGGCCCATAGACACCAGCGCCTATCCTCGATAAAGTATCAAAATACACTTGCGTTGATACTCCGAAGGACTAAGTTCGAATGCCCAGTATACTAGTAAAATAGGGTCTCTGGTCTCGTTCGCTCACTACACATAACACAGCAGCATTATGCTGCTATTTTAAGCTCGTATTTTGTGCCAACATGGTCCCGTCCAGATCTAGAAGACCCATTCGCGTTTCTTGTTGCAGCCATAAAAATCTCTAGCATTCTACGTTCTACCCTAATAAGTGGTTATCTTTATATTCGTCTTTTACGTTGTAACTAATCGATTCGCCACAGTGCACGATGGCTAAGAAATTAAGCACTCCTAAAACAGTAAATTAGTTGCTAAATAATCACCTGCCACCATGTGATAAAATTAAAGTCCGTAAATTGAATGCACATTACGAACCACCTTTCTTTAATGTCCTTCATAATAATATTATTAACGGTTTTACGGGTAACGTAACTAATTATCAAATATTTTGTTACCTTTACTAAAGAATGTTTTACAATTTTGACGTGGTAAAGCCAAGCTTCAGCTATAATAATATCAATATAGGAATACCAGCGTAAAATAGCGGCTTAATTCTGCTGTGTTTCGTATGGCAAGTGTAGAGAGCTGATGACCCTTTTTACTGTAAACCAGGCATTCCATCTTAGTCTTCAACGTTGACAACGCATCTACATTTTGATTCTTAATCGAGGATAAATGTCTATGGGCCACATAATCTACTAACTTTCAGTTGGACTGTATGCTCGTTTGTCACCTTCATCCTTTATGAAAGTAATTAAAAAAACCGGCCAAGAGCGTGTCGGGCCGCGCTCAGTGTAGGGTTCCGTAGTTTCCCATCCGTCACAATAAGTGTTCCCACTTATGAGTTTAAAGGTGGGTGTATCCATTATGTTCGCGCTCCAGCAGCGCTCCGCGCTTTTGCAACTGCTCCTGGTAGTGGGTCGGTTGTTTCCATCCAAGTTCAAAACGATTTTCCTAGAAAGTCCTTATAAAGTTCTACTTTTCAGATTTTTTTCATATTTTCTAAACTTATGGTTCAAAAGTTAGAGGGAGGGGGACGCATTGTTTTTTACTTTTGGAGCGATTATTTCCGAAATTATTAACATTATCAAAAAATGATTCAAGTAAACCCTTATTCATTTTTAAATACCTTTCCAACAATATATCACACGTTAGGATTGAAATTAAAAAAAAAATCACTTCCAACTTTACATATAGGGGGGCTACCCTAATAAAACATTTTTTTTCCAATTTTTATTCTACCACTTTGTCAGCGTGATTGATACACAGATTGGTACCAAATTTCAGCTTTCTAGTGCTAACGGTCACAGAGATTAAGCGAGGACGGACAGACGGACAGACAGACATGGCGAAACTATAAGGGTTCCTATTTGACTACGGAACCCTAATAAAAAAGAAGTCTTAAATATTCTTTATAGTTCAATATTTTCAAAATTGTATTAGTTAAATATAATTAAAACATGACAAACAATTTTGAAACTGTCACATAAAACATTTATTCAAAGCATAAAAGAGAAATTTTTAATTAATTATTTTAGGAGTATTTTTATTTTGATTTTATTGTTTTTACGTATATTATCTTAAAATTTATGTATTTACCATATTGATAATCATCAATTTATTGATAAGTGTTTGAAAGGTTATCCTATTCTAATATATAAAATTAATATTTGTTTGTTCGTATTTTATGCTCTGCCATACCGTTCATCAAATCTGATGAACCAACACTTTGTCAACTTCTTGCTTGCACTTACGCGTAGGTTATAGGCTTAGTAATTAACTTACAGAAGCGCGCGTATCGTACCTACCGACAAATTTATTTGAAAGTTATGTATCATTCAATTTCAGTGAATGTATTATCATTCATCATTAAACAATATAGCACTTCCAAATTTAAAACGATTTTTCCATAATTACTTTCTTCTGCGGCAGCAATGCGCCGGATATCAGCTAGTCATAGTACATATAAAAATCTGTAAAAAAATTATGTGTTTGCGATTCACTGAAAAACTACTGGAAGGATTTCCATCAAATTTTCTATGTAAACAGTAAATGACCGTGTACAGAGTCTTATAATATATTTATAACTTTTATCCGCTTAAAGAAGAGTAAAAATGGTTATGTGTTTCAATTTTTTTTAGTTTTATTATCATTATGGCTGCTGATGGTTCTATTTGACCTAAAGAGGATTTAGCTATACGTATAATAACTCTATAGAAAAGTGTTGCCGGTGTGTCGTGTGTGTGTGCTGTGTGGAAATGAAACCCATCGCGTCTCCAGCCAGAAATGCCAGAACAACGTCTACCGGGCCAGTTAGTACTTAAATAAAATTCCAACCTAATCTGTACCAAATCTGTACCAAAATTGTTGAACCCTACTAACAAATCGACGAACGACCAATGACCAACTATGGTCGATATTATGCATTCAAATATGTCACACATAGTTATGTCAAACCGTTTGAATCTGGGCTCTCTATTAAAATGGCTGCACAATCTCCTTAAAAAAGCCTATCTAGAACATAATTACGTTATTGAATTTATTTGCTTTTTGCTCTAAATCCAGTAAACAACAGGTACATCACCTAAATCCAGTAAAGGTTTTAACGAGCACAATAAGTATGCAATCGACAATAAAACTGCGTGTAGGTAATGGACTGTCAGTATTGGATGTTCGAGGATAAATAAAATTATGAAATTGCTTCATTTTAGCTATACCCGCTGGCCCGAATGAAATATTAAATTGGAATTTTACGTGCCCACTAACCATTTTCGGCGGCAAAAGCAAACATCTTGAGGAAATATACAGGTATAAAGGATAAAATATCTAGACATGTGAAGTCTGACGGAATACGCACTGAAGCAGCGTGGCGGCATTAGCGGCTAACTGATCGTTTCACGCCGTAACCCTGTCACAAATGAGAGAAGTGCATACAAGAGGGACGTATATAGGCTGTAAATTAACTTTTTCTCGTAAATCTATGATAATTAAGAGGATTGTGAAGCTGTAAATTTTCATACAAAAAGCGATAACGTTTTCCCACCAGTAAACATAATCTAATTTTCATAATTTTTGTAAATGTTGTAGATATAACAAAAAACTAGGTCCGTACGTTTTAATTTTAAAGAAATATTACGTACGATATAAGTTATTAGCATCTAAATATCTATATTTTTGACTTAAAAACTTCCTAGAGCGTTTTTATTTTTCTTAATTAAACTAAACTGATTTACTAAAAAAGAAAATGGTACAGACCTAGACTAAGGTGTATTGAATCTAATGATACCAAAATTATCTCATTTCGTAAAGGTTTAGGGGGGGTAAAAATGTTATCGCCCGAAACAATATTTCAATAAAGAAATGTAGGCAATTGCTTCCAAGACTTGCAACTCTCTCTATCGCACGATACGGGTCGGGAGGCAGGGGCATACGCATACTGCTGTAGTTGTGGTTTGTTGTTATTAGATGTCGGAGATTTTATCGATATAAATATATGTATAGATTTGACGGCTATGTGGCGCAGTAGCTCAGCAATGAGTTATAGCGCTGAGGGCCGCGGGTTCGAATCCCGCACGGCACAAGTATTTGTATGGCCTACAAGTAATTGTTGCGGGTCTAGATGTTTGTCCTTGTGCAATTTATGTATGTAAAAACTGCCTCCACGATACAGGAGAAAGTCCTAGTGTGGGGGTAACGTAAAAAAACAATAATTAAAAAAGATATTCAAAAACCTACACAAATTATACTTACGTGAATAACTTCATTTGTATTTAGCCTTTTTATTTTAGAGTCTTTATTGAATAAAAACTGTAACTTAAAAAGATTTTGAGTTTACACTACCCTCTACTGCATGAATTATGAAAAACTTGAAAAAAATATTTGTTGGTTGTCTAGGCTTTATTTGGGGATAAAAAATGACAAAAATGAAAATTAAAAAATCTACTTACATAAACTTAAAAAAAAATAAGGAGGTCATATATGGGTTCGTATATATCATATCAAACAAATTTTAATAAAAAAAGTACAGACATATATGGGTTCGTATGAAGAATAAAGGAACAAATAAAAATTTCAGCTTTTAATATAAAATAAAAAGTACAACAATTTTAATCATGAAACGCGGATAAACAGTCATTGTAACACAAGAATACCATGCATTTTTTACACTTTATGTAAGTTTTTTGGCCACAAAATTGACATTTTTGACGGTTTTTCATCCATTAAGGCATATGGTCTACTTTGCCAGTTCTCGCGGAGTTTAAAGGTACATCTTGATGTCTGGTAGGGACTTTCGTTATTTTCTTTGGTATAGTTGGTGCGTCTGGATTGGATAAAGCCGGATTTCCGTGCCTAGAATCAGGCGTTCCATCTTTACCGTGATTTCCAGGACGCCCTCTTTTTCTTGCTATTACAGTTTTACCAGATTTGCGTAAGTGTTCTGAAACAGCTTGCTTGAAATCAAAGAGACACATGTAAACTTCTGGATTGTTTCTGCGCCAAAGTATCCAAGCATTTACAACACACATGTCTACCATATGAAAAACCATGTATTTGTACCATTTCTTTGATCTCAAATGAATTATATACAAACCAAGCATAGAGTCCAGTAAGTCAACGCCCCCCATGTGCCGGTTATACCCTTCAACTGCTTGAGGGCATATAATGTTTTCGTATACCTTTTCCTTTCTAAAATACCTTCGTTTTGTAGTCGTTGGTTCACTACCTACATAAGTCGAAAGCATGTTACCCGCTTTATTATCAAACCAAGTAATGGCACTAACACTAACTTCATCAATGGTAGCAACCTATTCAATGAAAAATCCACGTTCCTTTTTTGTCAGCTCCTTTTCTAGCGGCATATCTATATTAGGAACTCTGTTCAGGCGCACTGTACCTAAAGGCAAAAGTCCGATCTTTGTAAGATGTACCTGGAGCTTAGGGCTATTGAACCAATTATCAAAAAAGATCTTATGATTAACATGTCTTGGTACTGTTTCAGTAAGACGAGTTACAACATTGCCACTAACACCCAAGTCTGGTGCACCTACAGGTCGTGTGTTACTTTGATCACCAGCAAAAATATCAAAATCGTAACTAAATCCTGAAACTGCACTAAGAACTTGATTCTTATATCCCCATTTATGAGGCTTTGCTGGGTTGTATTGTTTCAGGTCATGACGAACTTTCGTAGGGATTATCTGTTCATCAACTGCCAGATATTCCTCTTTGGGAACTAGTAAAAGTTGCTGCCTAATGCCATCTAAAAGTGGGAGCACTTTGAATAACTTGTCATGACCTGGACTGCCCAACGGAATTATTATTGTCATTGAAGTGTAATTTATTTTTTATTGTTTCAAACCTATTGCATGTCATAGTTTAGTAAATTTGTTGCTGTCTTGTTCCAGTAATATCGTGATGCAGGTAATTTCACTATAGACATGAAAATTACCATGTTTGTTTATATAGTCTTGTACGGATTTTAAATTAGATTGATTTGTTATAGTTTGTATCAGATCCTCAGAAACTAAATACAAGAAAAAGTCTGCCGGTGTATCAAGTTTTTCAATAAACTCTGGTAACTGTGTGACTCCAGTAAATTTAAACTTATTTTCATCATAAGCCTCAATTTTTTTGGATTCCCATATTATTTTAGTGGGTTTAACTTTTTTTAATAATAATAATACAATAATAATAATAAATATAATTTATTTAGTTGCAAACATATACACAAATTAACATAATTTAATTATTTAATGGAATGAACTAAAAAGGCGTATACTCAATAGAAATGTTATAGAAACCACATAGTGGTAACTACAACTACTGATTTTCAGTAAACGCCAAAGACATAGGTGGAATAGAATAAACTTAACTTATTATACTAATCACAGGTTCCAACACTTATGAAAATACATACTTTACTTATATAAAAAAACACACTTATAACAACTCACATTAACAACATTTAGGAAAAGGGCACAACAAAAAGCCAACACAACAAAAAGTGCAACAAAAGGCATGTGCAAGGCACAAGACACACAATTAAATTATTTGACAAGATACGAAAGCAAAATAAATAAATTTACAATTAAGCAAGTATACGTTAGTTTTATAATATATAGACACAGTATACTTTATAAGAAAAATGTGATACATCGACACAGAATTCTACTCACTTTGCAAATTTAAAAGGTATTCTTTTAGTTTTATTTTAAAAGTGCCAACTGTTTTGCTGCCCTTGATCGGAGGCGGAATATTATTCCAACACTTTGTGGCAGCATACCGAAAGCTACCACGAAACGCGGCCGTTCTGTGTCTTGGGTACAATAATCGAACAGTTTCCCGCGAGAGACGTTCCGAGAAACTGAGCCTTTCATATAAGTATTTTGGTTGTTGATTTTGTAATAATTTATAAAGTAAACAACTGTAATGAACCGATCTACGAGATTTCATATTAATAAGTTTGCCCTGATTTAAAAACGGTGTCACATGGCCTCTACGACGAATTCGATAGCAGAACCTAGCGCATGCATTTTGTACTCGTTGTATAACAAGTTTTGTTCGGGCAAGCAAACACTCTCCCATGACAATGTCAGCATAATTTAGCTTAGAGAGTATTAATGACTCGCAAAGTTGAACCCTTAGTTCTTCACTTAAGTATTGCCGGACCAATTTTTCACTGTATGCATAACATGATTTTCAAACCTTAGTCTACTGTCCAAAATTATACCCAAGTTACGAACTTCAGATACTTGTTCAATATGGTCGCCACCAACAATAATTTTGGGATTATGAGCATTCGTTCGTTCTATTAATTTCTTTGACCCCAAAATCATGAACTTGGTTTTATTTGGATTTAAGATGAGTTCATTATTACTCGCCTATTCAGCGATCATACTTAACTCCTGATTTAATTTGTTAACTGCCTCATTTGTATCACTCGGCCTAAATGATATGTATACTTGAAGGTCGTCTGCATATAAATGATACTGGCAATATTTAAAACAGCTTGTAATATCAGCACTGTAGAGAATAAACAGTAAAAGACCTAAAATTGACCCTTGTAGAACACCACGAGTAACAGGAGACGCAGCAGAAAAAATGTTGCTACCAGTTTCATTTCGAAGTTTGACTCGCTTTGTGCGACCATTCAAACAACTTTCAAACCATTTTAATGCGTTACAATCAAAACCATAATACACCAACTTCGACAGAAGCAGTGTAATATTTATTGTATCAAACGCACGCGAAAAGTCAAGTAGAGTCAAAATTGTAGCCTCTCCGTTATCCTGCGCTGTCAGAATGTTATCGACAACACTCAACAGTGCTGTAACCGTGCTTAGTCCAGCACTAAAACCTGATTGTTTAAGAGGTAAAATATTGTTCTGGTTTAGATATTCTATTAATTGTAAATAAATAGCCTTTTCAGCGATTTTAGATAAAAAAGGCAGTATACTTATAGGGCGAAGATGATTTAGTTCTATAGGATGATTATTTTTTGGTATAGGATTTATGATTGCTTACTTCCAGATGTCTGGAAACACAAATGTCTGTATAGACGTATTAATAATGGTGGTTATTGTTTTCAAAGTGTTATTATTATTATGTGTGGGGTATCTATATAGTTTTTTCATCTGGTTGGGATGTATAAATATATAATTATAAACGAAAATGAAAGGATAAATATACATAAATATCAATAAAATAAAATAAATACAAAAATACATAAATAAATAAAAGCCCAACCAGATGGAAGCCCTCGGCAGGGGGAGACCAAACGGCCAAGGGTTAGGGAGAAAGGGAAAGAAACCGGCGGACGATGCGGGCAGTATCAAGGAGCACCGCCTTCTGCATTTGAGCCCGGAGCGGTCCGTCACGGAGTCCCAGTCGCCTATGATGACCAGAGAAGCTAACTGGGATTAGCCCATTCGCAGAGACTACTACAGGAATAATTTCGGCCGGCAGACCACCCCACATGTCGGTCACCTCGTGAGCCAGGTTCAAATATTTTGATTGCTTATCTGTTTCGGCTCTCACGAGGTTCTCGTCATACGGGATGGTAATATCGACCAAAAATATCCTTAACTGTGCCCGGTCCATCAGCACAATATCAGGCTTATTCGCAAGAATAGTCCTATCTGTGATGATGGCCCGGTCCCAGTAGAGTCTGGCGCGGTCATTTTCGAGCACGGCTTCCGGCAAGTACTTGTAATACGGCAATTTCCGGTCCACGAGACCGTATTTCAGAGCGAGCTCCTGGTGTAGAATTCTGGCTACTAGGTTGTGCCTGTGCAAGTACTCAGAGATAGAAAGTGCCGAACAACCGGAGATGACATGCCTAAGTGACTCCCCGGGATGGCGACAAGATCGACAGACGTCGACGGTGCCATCCTTTAGGATGTATCTCCGATAGTTGTTGGTCTTAATAACCTGATCCTGTATTGCACAGACAAAACCCTCGGTTTCCCCGAAGAGGTCACCGAAACGTAGCCAGTTGAGGGAGGCGACTGTATCTACGAAGGGCTCATGTAGAGCCTTGTAGTACCTCCCGTGGAGCTCCTTCTCCTTCCATACGGTCTCCCGGTCGGAATTGCTAAGCACTGCTGGGTCCTGCCATTGCTCGTTGGCTAAGGATAGAGGGGTAAGCCCTTTATCACTAGAAATGACGTCATTATAGAATGGATCGTCCGATCTCGCCAAGAAGTACTGACGGAGACTGCACACTTCGCGATTATGCATGGTGAGCGCGCTCAGAAAGCCACGCCCACCATACTTTCGCGGCAAGTACAGCCTCATTACCGACGATCTCGGATGATGCATCCTATGGGACGTCATGGTAGTGCGGACTTTTCTATCCAGGGCGTTAAGCTCAGTCTGAGTCCACCTGAGTATGCCAAAGGTATACATGAGGACAGGCATGACCCAGCCGTTATATGCGTGTGTCTTATTCATACCGGACAAAAGGCTGTTAAGCACTTTGGTCAAGCGTGCATAAAACACGTCGCAAACTGACTGTTTCATACCAGCCTCATCGATACCGATGTTCTGTGACATACCCAGGTATCGGTATGTTTCAGCCTCGGAAAGGGTCCTTAAGTTGACGGGCATAGACAAGTCTATGCCCTCAGAGTTAGCAACCCTTCCCCTTTCAACATGGAGGACCGCACACTTATCCGTCCGCAGCTCCATTCCAATGGAACTGCTAAATTCACAAGTGATGTTTAGCAGTTCCATAAGATGGGAGCGACTGGAGGCGAATAACTTGAGGTCATCCATATAGAAAAGGTGGGTCACTTTTGTCCCTCCTTTCCGTAGCTAAAATCCCCTCCCGGAGCCCTCCAGTAAGGTACTGAGAGTGTTAAGAGAGAGGCAGAACCAGATTGGACTCAGACCCTGGAAGATACCCCTTCTTATCCTTATGTGGTTCTCCGCAGCCGTCATCCGCTCGCCCAGATGACAAAGGATCGTACTCCACTGCCCCATACACTGCTCGAGGAAGTCTTTAACTGTACAGTCAATCTTGTACAGCTCGAGGACCCTCTTTAGCCATGTATGGGGCACCGAGTCGAACGCCTTTCTGTAGTCTATCCAGGCGGCAGAGAAGTTCCGACGGTTGCGTTTCACCACTTTGCCTATGACCGCGTCAATGAGGAGTGGTTCCTTAGTTCCACGACCACCGCCCCGACATCCATTTTGAGCGCGTGACATCACCTGGTTTAGCTCCAGGTGACGAGTGATTCTCGCGTTCAAAATGGATGTCAGTGTCTTATATATGGTGGGTAGACACGTGATGGGGCGGTATTTGCTCGGGTCTGTGGTATCTTGATCTTTAGGAACCAAGTGAGTGATCCCAGTAGTGAAGAGGCTCAGGAGTGACTTCTGGTCGAGAGCCTCTTGAAACTGTCGGGCGAGCACAGCGTGATACACTACGAACCCCTTCAGCAGTAATGATGCAGCCCGTCGAGCCCCGGACTTTTCCAGTTCGGGGCCCTACGGACCGCCTCAGCCACGTCTTCTGGCGTTATGGTGATGGGGTCCATAGGCGTAACACTTGCACCCTGGCTCGCCATAATTTCCATCCAAGGGCCCTCACTGTGGTTTACGGGCTCTGACCACAGGCCACGCCAGAATGCGATAATGTCAGCCTGATCCGGTCCTTGGCCCGCTCCACATACCTTTGGTCACTCCAATAATTTATAGAGCCTCTTCTGATCACTCTGGAAGAGACGATTCTGGTTGAACCGCTTTGACCCCTCGGAAAATCGTCGAATCCGCTTCCCCCAAGCAGCGATCTTTTGCTTCAGGTCGTCTATGCGCTCCGTTAGTTTCTGCGTGATATCCGACTGGGAAAAACTGAAGGCCATCCTAACGGTGCGCATAATCCTCGGTCTATTATTACCCGACCTGAAGCTTGTCAGTCTGCCGACAAGGGCCCTTGCCTTTGCGATACGGTCCTCAATTCTTTTCCTCCAGGCTGGGATGGCGTTACTTTGTGTAGTAGCGCGTTCAGCCATGGGAAGTTTGGCACAAATAATACGGCAAACTGCCACTTCGGCGCCAAAGAGAATCGAGTCCGTCTCGCAAAGGTCCCGGCTAGCTTCCAAATAGGTCACCAGCATTGGGTTAAGAGCCCTCACGACAGCCCGATTTCGCTTGCTTAAGGGTATGCGGGGAAGTCGCGGTCGATTTTCGAGAGGGGTGCTGCGGGTTTCCAAAATCGCCTCTTCCAATATACTCCTCATTTGCTCTAGTTCGTGGGAGACTATTTCATCGTCGTTCGAATCAACCACAACTGGAAGATCCATGGCGGCTTCCACGTGTGGATGCTGGTCTGTCGAATGTGGAGCTGCATCTCCAGCCATAGCCGATTCATTCGACGACGGAATAGCCTCACGTCGTAGTCGTTCGAGTTCGGCATCATCAAATATTTTCGAGCGCATGATGTACCGAACTCGGTCTGCCAGGTTTTGTTCCGTGACGGGGATAGACGGCTCCAGCTCAGCAAAAAAGCAATGCATCCGAGATCTATACGCTATTCCCACAGTTTCTTCCCCTTTCGCCCTATAGTACGCCCGCAATGCGTTTTCGTTCATGGATTTTGTCCAACGCATGTGACGTGCTCCACCAGCGGCGGGTGCCGCTTGCTGGGTCCGAGAAGACCCAGCCGACACCAAGCCTTCTGGTGGGGATGATGGATGCGAGGGGCTGCTAGGTGATCGTGCAGCTCCTCGCGCTCGGCTGGCGGCCCACATGCTGCCGCGTCCAGCGCCAGCTCCAGACGCGCCGCGGCGACCCCCAGGCAGCGGCCCTATGCGCGTTCCTTTTTGTGTTTCTTCCATCATCCATTTTATGGGCGCCAAATAACGGGAGACGCCCAAGCCCGGCACCGTTTCGTGGTTGGGTCATATGCACAAACGGACCTTTGCATCTACAATTTTGCCTAGGCACGGCGCTCACACCTCTTGGCAGGATGCTGACTGACTGCGCCGACGTCGCAGTTTTGTCACATAACTGTTACGTCAGCGGGCGATGGGGTCGTCACTTCCCTACGCCTTTTTTATTTTTATTATTATTATTATTATTACTCTTTCTCGAGCTGTCATATTTCTATGTACTCGAGGGTCAATCAGTTTTGGTAATAAACACTGAAAATAAAATAAGTTACGTTTTGGCTGCATTTTTTCGTCCAACAGAAGTCATCGTACTTAATTTTTCATACGCCAAAACATGTAGCGTCCATACTACGAAAAAACAAAATTTCCTACCAGTGATACGTAATTTTCCCTGGACCTGATAATAGTAAACATGATTTCTTTTTAGATCATCTGTCCTTCTCGTATCAAACAAAATTTGATCTTTTTTCAATTATGGCCTCCACAGGTGGCATATAAGAAGCAGAAATAGGACATTTGACTTCAATTAGGGAGTCATCTCCGATAAGTCCATCAGGACTTGCCCCTAAATAATAATCATCTTAATCAATAAGGAGTCCGCACACCGAAACTTTAAGATTGGTAGTTGTGGAAAATCCTCGTATGGCCTCCAATTAGTGTTGGTTTTCATATTCGATTGCCGTATTTCCTTTGAAATAAGTATACAGTTGAAATTTATACGCAGTTAGCCTTTTTCTCCGTTCAGTGTGCCACAAATCATTGTCTCTTTGACCTCTAGTAGCCAATTCTAATTCTTTTATTTTGTCCTCGTTTTTTTGAAAAGAAGCCAAAAACTCTTCTTTCTTTTGTTAAAAACATGATTGGCACTGATTTTTACGTCATTTTTGATGTTTTTTATTTTTTCCACGTCAATGATGTCTTCGTTCTTCCAATTTTTCACTGCGCCAACTACTACTTCTTTTTTTATATAGAATGGGATGACAAACGAGCACACAGCCCACCTGATGGTAAGTGGTTGCTGTGGCCCATAGACATCTACATCTATCCTCGATTACGAATCAAAATGCAGATGTGTTGTCATCCGTGAGGACTTAGGTGGAATGCCTCGTTTGCAGTAAAAAGAGTCTCCGGTTCTCTACCATACAAACACATGATATACTGTGAGAGCGTGGTCCTTACCCCGTCGAGCCGACCCATTCGTGCTACAACTATACTACTAATATAACTGCAGCATGGCAAGCGACGCAAAACATTGCTCACAACTCTTTTTCTTGTAGGTACTGGTAAGTAAACTTATTGGTTGTTAGTTTTCTTCCCAACTGCTTTAATTTGGAACAAAAATGTCTGAAAAGGTGATTTTTGCATTCTACTTTTTTAACCATGAGGTTAGAACCGTATGGCATAGTAATCAATAGTCCATTTATGATCCAGAGTCACCATCGCCAATCAGCATGTGATATTTAACGCCAAGTTTTTCAACGCTTTTTTGGAAACCCTATTATACCTTCTTCCATCGATGTAGCGCTGTTAGACCTCTAATATTCATTCGACGAATATTAGGAGTACATCGTCCCTGCATATTACTGTCAGGTAATTCCTTGTCAAGCTCAGAGTCACTGAAAAATAAATAAAATGATAATAGTTAAAAAAATATTTTATGGCTAACTAACGCGGGCAAAAGCTAGTTTACCTTTAATTCGGTTCATTGTTAAGATTAGTAAATTAGTAATTAGAATTAGTAATACGAACAACATTTTCTAACGGACTAATATTATTACTAGACAAGTGGTATACTTAATTGAAAATTTTGTACAACCAACTTCAACAAAACTCAATTACTACATATTATGTCATGGTTGAAATGATTTCTATGATATTTATATGGGGCCAAATGTGAGACATACATTATCGAAGAAAAAATGAATAGGTATTAAAAATCGATCTACGATGGAGAAAACATTAAAACATACATAAAAAATAAAAAATAAAAGAAAAAAACATACAGCCGAACATAAAACCTCGTCCTTTTATTGAAGTCTTAAAAATCAACATCTGTTTTTATCAACAACTATTCCATAATTTTATATTTTGGCGAAATAAATTTCGGTCTATCACCTACCAATCAAAGTATGATCACAGAATAAATAATATTACGTATGATACCTATGTGCAATAGTATTTTATGTGGTTATACCTGTCGATTTTAGAAGTTGGCGTTACCCATCCTTTCGATTTACGAATAAAATTGATTTTTTTTTCGTTTATGATAAACACGGTCGACTTTTCTTTCCTCGTCTATAATCTTTATCTTCCATTCTAAAAGGTATAAATTAATTTTATTTGAATGAATATAATACTCATCTAAAAGCTGGCATTTGCCTTTGGCAGATTTAGATAGGTAGATACTTACATATAAAAATAACAGTTTACTTCTTTAGGGTATATGTAGTTAGTACCTACTAAATGTCTACATACAGTATGCAATAAGTATAATAAAATTGCAAAGAAATACAAACAAATTGAATAATTATGTCACTTGTCATCAAAGACAAGTAAGTACTTATGTAGTACCTGGATGACCGATTTTTTTTTTTTTGGAAATCGTGTTTTTTGGAAATTATATTTAGATACAAATTACATACTGATGTAATATGAATAATATTTTTCGATCTTACCGACAATAAAAAAGACTTAACTGGTTATTTAAATAAAAATCATGAGTTGAATTAGTTTTAATTTAATTTTTCGTGTTTAAAAAAATACTAAAAAAGGGCTCGAAATAATAGATTTTCTCACAAAAGAAGGGAACTTGAAAAAAAAGTCGGGCCGAAGTCATTCGGATTCGAACCACGGATTCGGGACCGCCGATTTCTCATTTGAGCTATAGTAATCTTCGAAACACTAGCAAAATTTACCTTCGTATTCTAATAAATTAGTAATTAGAATTAGTAATACGAACAACATTTTCTAACGGACTAATATTATTGCTAGACAAGTGATAAAATTGAAAATTATGTACAACCGACATCATTAAAACTCAATTACAACATACTCTTATGTCATGGTTGAAATGATTTTTATGACATTTTTATGGGGCCAAATGTGAGACATACATTATCGGACAAAAATAAGTAGGTATATATATAAAATTGCTCGTTTAAAGGTATTAGAATTTAAATCTCTTTGCTTGTAAATGTATGCAAACCGCAGATAGCCGACGTTCGAGCGATTCACAGAATGCGCCCGAGCGTCACTTACTGCTGATATTGTAGTGTGCGTGAGAATTTGTTTATAATATATTATATTTGAGATTGTCACGCCCGGAGGGAGGCAAAGTGAGCAATATGAAACAGATAGCATTTTTTAAAATACTCGCGTCCCGTATCGGCACTTCACCACTACTTAGTAAGCTTGAACTTTAACCAATGCTATCTTATTTTTAAAGTAGTTGACACAAACTTTATAATAGCGTTAGTTACAGTGTAAAACATATTTTACAAAGACATTTACTAACAATTCATCACCAATCTACGTTTTTTTTTTTTAAATTAAATGTGGGTGACAAACGAGCACACTGTCCGCCTGATGGTCAGTGGATGCTAAGTCCCATAGACATCTACATATCATCCTATATTATGATTCAAAATGCAGATGCGTTGTCAACCCTGAGGACTAAGATAAAATGCCTCATTTCCAGTAAAAAGGGTCTTCCCTTCTCTGCATTCACTATACGAAACACAGCAGCATCAAGCTGCTATTTTACCCTGGTATTCTGAGAGAGCGCGGTGCTTTCCCGTGTAGCCGACTCATTCGTGCTACAACCATAATATAGCAGCAGCGTAGCTCTAGCACGCGAAAACGCGTATGTGTTGCCGGTAAAGTATAAAAAGCGCTTTGGAAAAATCGCTTGGTTTGCTCCAGCCCAATTTTTGAACAATGTTTGGTTTGTTCACATCCGTGGAAAACTGCATTGAAACAAAATTATAACAAGAATTAAAGTTAAAAGTTACAGCCTATACACGACCCACTCCTGGGCACAGGTCTCATTTCTGAAAGGGTTTTAGGCACAAAATAGTAATAATATTATTACGATTTCCGTAGTTTTAGGGCAAAGAATTGTTCGCCGCGCTGCCCCAATGCGTGTTGGCGAACTTCACATGTCTTTGAAATAATTTTTTTCTCTATTTCTCAGACATGCAGGTTTCCTCACGATGTTTTACTTACCCGCCAAGCACATGGTAAATCAGCCCGAAAATTACAATTAACAATTTCACTAGTGCCGGCGGAGATTGAACTCGGTTTGCTCGCGTACTGTGAAATATAATATACAGCAAGCGCTAACCATCTGAGCTACGACGGCTCCACAACAAGAATTATATACAAGAAATTCATTCCACCACCAATGATGGAAAAATGTTATTCAACTTTATTATTTTTACATTTCTTTTTCGAACTGAATTAAAATGGTAAAACGTAAAACCACAAATCAAGCTGATGTTTCACTACCTGGTCCAAATCCCAGAAATCAGAATCTAACAGAAATTAGAGTTGAATTTCTTTCAAATACCGAGATCTTTCTATTATATAGACATTGCCGTACTGGAAATACGTTGGTTTTATTTTTAACCGTACTTATAATAAATGGATATCAAAATACAATTTTAAAGGAAAATGTGAGCTGTTAATTTTGTTTTTGTTACTTATCTTCTTCTTCTTCTTTTATCTTTTTATATACAAAAAAAACAATTGCTGGTCGTTAGTCTCGCAAAAACTCTTATTTTTCCTGGTCCCTGGATGGTTTAAAAACTCAACTGGACCCGGTAGGTGGCGCTGTTCTGTCCAGAAACCACCCGTGCGAAGCCGGGGTGGAGCGCTAGTAATAAATATAATACATATTACTAAATTAATAATGTAGAATAATGTAATTTAAAATAATAATGTGTAAT